CCAACAGTACGACAGGTGGCGACCCTATCAGCGCCATAGCCAGCGATAGTTTGCGTTTATTACCGCCCGAATAGTTCTTGCACTTGCGTTGGGCGTGATTTTGCAAATCCACCTTCTTGATCATTTTGTTCACCTCCAGCGCTATATCCTTATCGGGGATACCCCGGAGCCGGCCGTACAGGTACAGGGTTTCAAACGCGTTCAACCGGTCCAACAGGGCGTCAAACTGCGGACAGTAGCCAATCTGGGACTGATATTTCACCCGATCGTTCATCAGATCGTTGTTAGCGATATAAGCGTTGCCAGCGGTGACCGACAGGTCTCCCGTAAGCATCCGGAATGTGGTGGTCTTTCCGGCGCCGTTAATGCCCAATAGGCCGAAGAACTGCTCCTTTCCCACCGCGAATGACAGTTGGTCGACGGCCATAAACTTGCCGTTTGAATAGCGTTTGGTTAGGGACTGGACCACCAGCGCCTCCTCCGACTGGTGGTGGGCGGCGATGATCTTCTCGGCCCTCTGGCGCTCGTCGATCACGTCGTTGTCCGTAACGTTTGGCGCCCGCATTGTCCGCAAGTCGAACGACTTTTTGCTCCGGGAGGCGAATAGTGCCCGTCCTATGGATCGCAGCCAACCTCTGCCCCGGTTTTTGAATGCACCCGAGAATGAGTTGGTGTCGATGGCGAATAGGATGAGCCAATACAGACAGCCGTCCAGTATGAGCATGGCGATCTCGTCGTTCACCCCGAGCCAATTGAACCAGTAGAATGGGTGTTGGAATATGCACTCGTTGCCGCACACCTCTGTGTTTGATCATGGTGAATTGGGATTTATAAATAGATAAATTAGTTATTTAGTGATATTATTGTTTGTTACATATAATTAGATAAATGTACTTTATAATATAAATTTTATTTTATTTTAATCACGGTTATTTGAAAATGTTTATGTTATAATAAATGTTGTGTTAATGTATCGCATATTATTATGAGTTATTTTATTTTAAATATAATTAATTATTTATTTTTAAATACATTTTAACACATTTGTAAAACACGATCAAGGTCCTCTTTCCGGAAGATAGCAAAAGTAAATAACTATTGTCATTTAGTACTGTAAATACCCAGAATAAATTATTATGTTTAAGTTAATTACTATTTATTTGTAAATTACTGCTTAATAAATCCCATGTATGGTTAATGTTATTATTTCATAGAGTTATTTATGTAATGAAATCATATGTTTAATTATATTAAGCATTTGTTAAATCACTATTTGCTAGTATATTGTCTTTTGAAATTATAATTTTGTTTTTTTGTGTATAATTTATTAATTAATCGTCAGTTTTATCAATAATAATAGAAAAATAATTGTATATTTTTTTGTAGACTATTTGTTGAGATGTTATTGTGATATAAATTCAATATAAATCTAATGTCACTTCACGTTAACTGATAGGAAATAGTGATAAATGTAATTAAAACTAATATAAAATCTATTAATAATATGTAAAACTTTGCATATGTTTGAGATTGTAATCAAAAAAGGGATTAAATTATAACAAACCAACTATTTTATAGGTATTTAATATCTATTTAACAAATTCATATACCTATAGAACACTATATGGGAATTTAATAGATGTTGGTATAAATGCTAGTATTTTATTGCTAATTATGTTCAGTTTTTATATCATGTTAAACAATAAAATTCACAGTAATTGCACCTAAAATTTACGGTAATTTTTAATAACTATATTGTAATAAACATATCAAAATGTTTTGTATATTTTTCCGGCAAAATAATAATAAAATTTGCATTATTTGGAGGAAAACATACTATTTATTGATTGACTTATGATTTGCATTGAAATCCTATTTATTATCGTGAATATCAATGAGTGTTCAAAGTTTTCAAATGCAATAAATAAACTAAAAATTTATGTATTTTACAATTTATTTTAAAATTAACTAAAAATTATGCAAATAATTAGTGAATTAATTATATATTCAACGCATTTCTTGTTTAAAACATCACTAAAAATACATTAATAACCATAACATAAAAAACTACTGTACATACACTAAAAAATAACATATAATACAGTATACTTTAGCGTTATCATCAAAATAACCTAGCACCTCGCTTCCCAATAATAACTAGATCAAAAACTGGATCTGGAATATCATAACCTATACTCAATTAAAGCATCTAATTATTAGTATAATTATAACTATGAATAATATAACTGTTAATATCAAACTTATAACTATGTAATTAAAGCTATCAAAACAAACATCATAATATAACCCTACAAGTATACAATTAATACTATTATAAATACAAATAAAGTTACAAGTTACAAATACATACCATCACAGCAGCGCTCGGGCTTCAGTATCTTGAGCTCCTCGAGCTCGGGGTTCGAGCGCTGAGAAGCGGCATAAATGCCACACAATATAGCCCTCAGCGAGGCCTGAAACTGGGCGCACACGAGTCGGGTCGAGTCCAGTGTGAACAGCTTTTGGGTGCCCAGGATTAGCGACACCACCGGCGACAGCCGTGCGAACCACATCATGGTGTAGAACATGCCGCGCACTTCCTGCGATGATTTCTCTTCGAGGATGGTCTCGAAAAAGGTGGCGATCACTCCCATACCGATACCGGTTATAACCGATATGAGGCACAGTATGCCGAAAGCGGTCGACGGTTTGCGGAATAGCGACGATACGAGGTATGCGAACGGTATGGCCGCCCAACCGAATGATATAAATAGCGATACGAATGCGACTGTTGGGGTGGTAAGAGAATGTGCATGGTGCAATTAATATTTAGTTTAGTATTTAGTTTATTAATCTAGGTGTTGTGTAATTATTTTTATTATTTTTGTTGTAATTATTTATTTAATTAATCAATTGATACTATGTTATTTTATTGTAGCATGTATTTTAGTTTTTTGTTTAGCTAATTTATATCAGTATATGTCTAATTAAGTGTGCTTGATAAAGTGTAAATTAATTAGTAATCTAAATGTGATTATAAGAAATAAACTCTAATTTTATAATATTGTGATTTCAGTATTTAATTTAAGCATGTTAACTTTATAATTTGCAACACCTATTTACCCTTGATAACATGTTTGTTTATATTATTTTTTATGTTGATTAATAAATTTATTTTGTCATTGTTTATGAATGCAAAAGAATTTCGTTAAAAATAGTAAAATGTTTTTAATTATATTTTATTTATTTTTATAATTAATAGTTTTGACAAATTATCGTTGAATTTTGTTTTGAAATATATTTATGCAGTTTTGTTTGAATAGGTTTTCAATCATTTCAGTTGTAAACAAAATAATTTGATGAGAGAGAGAGAGAGAGAGAGAGAGAGAGAGAGCGATTGTTTTTATAATTATAAAGTATGTGTTTTTTCAATAAAAAATCACTTATTATTAGCGCTAATACAGTATTCTTATGGCAAATATTAGTTGACAACTGAATGGTAGGGAATTCAATAAGAAATGGCATTAATGTAAGTTTTTATTATATTTACTTTGACTATGGTCAAAAACTGATGAGCACCGGTAGGTAATTACTATTAGGGATATACACAATGTGTGCCAATCAATCAAATATTACATGACTTTTCTATTATATTAATAATATATTAATAATACATTTGGGAGTAGAAAACATCGACACTATTATTAAATATTTATTCAATTAATTTAATAAATTATAGCTTATGTTAGATTTTGTACAGTATTTACTGAATAATGTAGAAATTTTATTACAATTGGTATTGATTTTGAAGATTTTTTGTATTAATTTTCAATAGGATTTAAAATTATAAGTTTTCGTTAAATTCTTTGTTAAAAATATATATAATTTTAAAACTTTTTTTTGTTATTTTTAAATGTTTTGTTAATTACTTTTACTTTTGTTACGAAACCAGTTTTCAATTGTTATTTCAATGCATTTATTGTTTGTAATATTATTTCATATTTTTATTTTAAAGTCTCTCTCTCTCTCTCTCTCTCTCTCTCTCATACACAGAAAAACTTACAAAAAATATATAAATGTAAAACTAGTGACGATATTAAAGGGAAATATAATACACAAAAATGTGTGGATTATTTACGCTAATAATATTTGCCATAAGAATACTGTATTAGCGCTAATAATAAGTGATTTTTTATTGAAAAAACACATACTTTATAATTATAAAAACAATCTCTCTCTCTCTCTCTCTCTCTCTCTCTCTCTCATCAAAATTATTTTGTTTACAACTGAAATGATTGAAAACCTATTCAAACAAAACTGCATAAATATATTTCAACACAAAATTCAACGATAATTTGTCAAAACTATTAATTATAAAAATAAATAAAATATAATTAAAACATTTTACTATTAATAGCGAAATTCTTTCGCATTCATAAACAATGATAAATTAAATTTATTAATCAACATAAAAAAATAATACAAACATATTATCAAGGGTAAATAGGTGTTGCGAATTATAAAATTAACAATCGTTAATTAAATACTGAAATCACAATATTAAAAATTACAGTAGATTTCTTATAATCACATTTAGATTACTAATTAATTTACATTTTATCAAGCACACTTAATTAGACATATACTGATATAAATTAGCTAAACAAAAAACTAAATACATGGTAAATAAAATAGCATAGTATCAATTGATTAATTAAATAAACAATGATAACAAAACTAATAAAAATAATTACATAACACCTAGATTAATAAACTAAATACTAACAAATGTAAACTAAATATTAATTGCACCACGCACATTCTCTTACTACCCCGAACAGTCGCATTCGTATCGCTATTTATATCATTCGGTTGGGCGGCCATACCGTTCGCATACCTCGTATCGTCGCTATTCCGCAAACCGTCGACCGCTTTCGGCATACTGTGCCTCATATCAGTGATAACCGGTATCGGTATGGGAGTGATCGCCACCTTTTTCGAGACCATCCTCGAAGAGAAATCATCGCAGGAAGTGCGCGGCATGTTTTACACCATGATGTGGTTCGCCCGGCTGTCACCGGTGGTGTCGCTAATCCTGGGCACCCAAAAGCTGTTCACACTGGACTCGACCCGACTCGTGTGCGCCCAGTTTCAGGCCTCGCTTAGGGCTATATTGTGTGGCATTTATGCCGCTTCCCAGCGCTCAAACCCCGAGCTCGAGGAGCTCAAGATTTTGAAGCCCGAGCGCTGTTGCGATGGTATGTATTTGTATTTCTATCTAGATAATAGTATTATGATAGTATTAATTGTATATTTGTAGTCTTATATTATGTTGTTTGTTTTATAGTTTTAATTACATAGTTATAAGTTTGATATTAATAGTTATGTTACATAGTTATAATTATACAATACTAATAATTAGATGTTTTAATTGGGCATGGGCTATGATATTCCAGTGGATTTTGATCTAGTTATTATTGAGGAGTGAGGTGCTAGGGTATTTTGGTGATAACGCTAAAGTATACTGTATACTTTTTTAGTGTACGTACAGTAGTTTTTTATGTTATGTTTATTAATGCATTTTTAGTGATGTTTTGAACAAGAAATGCGTTGAATATATAATTAATTCACTAATTATTTGCATAATTTTTAGTTAATTTTAAGATAAATTGTAAAATACATAAATATTTAGTTTATTTATTGCATTTGAAAAGTTTGAACACTCATTGATATTCACGATAATAAATAGGATTTCAATGCAAATCATAAGTCAATCAATAAATAGTATGTTTTCCTCCAAATAATGCAAATTTTATTATTATTTTGCCGGAAAAATACACAAAACATTTTGATATGTTTATTACAATATAGTTATTATAAGTTACTAAAAATTACCGTAAATTTTAGGTGCAATTAATGTGAATTTTATTGTTAAACATGATATAAAAACTGAACATAATTAGCAATAAAATACTAGCATTTCTACCAACATTTATTAAATTCCCATATAGTGTTCTATAGGTATATAAATTTGTTAAACATACATTAAATACCTATAAAATAGTTGGTTTGTTATAATTTAATCCCTTTTTTGATTACAATCTCGACCATATGCAAAGTTTTACATATTATTAATAGATTTTATCTTAGTTTTAATTACTATTATCACTATTTTCTATCAGTTACAGTGAAGTGACATTAGATTTATATTGAATTTATATCACAATAACATCTCAACAAATAGTCTACAAAAAAAAATATTCTTATTTTTCTATTATTATTGATAAAACTGACGATTAATTAATAAATTATACACAAAAACAAAATGATAAATTTAAAAGACAATATACTAGCAAATAGTGATTTAACAAATGCTTATTATAATTAAACATATGATTTCATTACATAAATAACTCGATGAAATAATAACATTAACCATACATGGAAATAACTAGTGTTTTACCCATAAATAGTAATTAACTTAAACATAATAATTTATACTGGGTATTTACCAAATGACAGATAGTTATTTACTTTTGCTACCTTCCGGGAAGAGGACTTTGATCGTGTTTAACAAATGTGTTAAAATGTATTTAAAAATAATTAATTAATTATATTTAAACTAGAATAACTCATATTAATATGCCGTACATTAACACAACATATTTTTAACATTTTACATTTATTATAACATAAACATTTTAAAATAACCCTGAATAAAATAAAATAATATTTATATTATAATTTATAAATTATATTTAACAAACAATAATATCACTAAATAACTAATTTAATTATTTTAAATCCCAAATCTACCATGATCAATTCACAGAGGTGTGCGGCAACGAGTGCATATTCCAGCACCCATTCTACTGGTTCAATTGGCTGGGGGTGAACGACGAGATCGCCATGCTCATACTGGACGGGTGCCTGTATTGGCTCATCCTATTCGCCATCGACACCAACTCATTCTCGGGTGCATTCAAAAACCGGGGCAGAGGTTGGCTGCGATCCATAGGACGGGCACTATT